ATATATATAATTACATTACATAATATATATATAATTTTATGTTATATATATATAAGTTATCTATAGATCTATAAAAGTATGTTTACAAATTTTCATTATAAACTCAGAAAAAAAAGTCATGGTCTTTACTTTCCTCTTTTCACAATTCCAAACAATAACAATTTATAAAAATTTTTCTTATATATCTGGTAAATTAATCTTTCTTTTATTAATATTTCATTAAATTTCATTAAATTAATATCAAATTCAACAATAAAATAATAAAAAATTAAATTATTTGATTTAAATTTTAAATCAAATATTTTAAAAAAGTTATTCCATTTTAAAAAATATACGAATTTTTTGTTCGTTATTATATGTTATTAAAAAATATTTTTAACAACTTTTTCCTTTGCATATAATCAATAGTCGGGTCTGAGCTTTCGAATTATTCTTAAAAAATAACGTAAAAATAGTATTTCGATATTATTACATTAAATTTTATAATTTATAAGTATGCATTTAGAATACGTGAAATAGTATGCGATCGCCATTTCTTAGTGTTATATACCGTATAAACACGGTAGATAAACAAATATTACATTTAGCATACGTTCATAGTAAATTTCGAATTGTTGTGTAAATTCCTTGTATGTAAAAGAAAAAATATAATGTGTAAATAATAATAATATGAAAAATTGAAATTTTTTTATATAATTTATTTGTTGATTATTACGTAAGCATAAATCTATAATTGAGAAATAACTCAGATAACATAAAAAAGAAAGTTCTTTATTAACAGATATTTAATATAATGGATTAATTAATTAATATAATGGATATTAATTATTAATTATTAAATTTATATTTATATATCATTTCTCAAAAATAGAAATAAATATATCGATATGAAACTGATTGTATTTCAATATTAAATAAAATTGATTTGTATTCAATTTTTGAATTTAATTATCCCAAATAAAGATTTAACATTTCAATAATTTAATTTCTTTAAAAGTCCTAAAATCTTAATCTTTATATAAAAAGTTGGAAAAAAAACTCCAATAATTGAATGACACTAAATTTAAAGGAGTGATAGAAGAATAAGAAACTTTAAATATAAAATTTTAGCTTCAAATGTTTTTGAAATATTAATAAAAATTTTTTAGTATTATACATAATATAGATAAAATTAATATAATTATCTTAGTCTTAAAAGTTCTCACTGTTAAATATTTAATGGACAGTCTTGATATCTATAAATAGTTTTCAACAGATTCTTAGTTATATTAGTTACAATGGAATATCTTCAAAACGACATATTTCGGCAAAAAATCTTGTGATTATATATATATATATATATATAATCTTGTGTGATTATATATATTTTTATTTACCAATAAAATTTCATCTCTTTTAATTATTATTTTTTGCATTAGTCTTGAAGAATATTAAAAATTATAAAATATTCTATCATTTTGTTGCAGATTATATAGAATTTAAACAATTCTGATAAATAAGATTTTTGTTATATAAAATATTTAGATTAATCTTTATGTATTTATCTAATCTAAAATTAGAATTTATTTATGGAATAATATTCTTATATTAATATTTTTATATTAATATTTTTATATAATAATATTTTAAAATCCTTAATTCCTTAATAACTGATAAATTGATTATTATTATTCAAAAAAAAATAATGTTTTAAAATATAGAACACTTATTTTCAAATTAATTAAAACATATTTCCTTAACGTAACAAAATGTAAGTGTAATTAAATAGTAATATAATTATGTAAATGTAATTAAGTTAATCTTCAGACTTAAATTTAATTGAATATTTATGAAATTGCATTAAATATCAATTCAGAAATCAATTTTTTAATTAATAAACCAGAATTAATGCAAAAAAATCACGAAAATATAGTCAATTTTATATTTGTTTAAAATCCATGCAATATTACATAGTTATTAAATACCTGAAATTTTCATCGTTGATCTTATCTCCTTTTAATTTCTAAAGAAAATTTCTCGTTATAAAAAAAAATTTATAATTTCTATAAATAATATTTGCTAAATAATGAAAAAAAATTCTAATAAATATATGAATATATTAAAAAATTAATGTTTTCAAAATTATAAACAATTCTTTATTTCAATTAAAATGATGTAATTCTTCACTTTGAAAACTATCATATCGAATATCATTAATTAGTTTATAATTTTTTTCTTAGCTACAAAAGATTTTCTATATATTTTTCTTTTATTTCGATACGTAATATTTTCATATTGAAAAATTATTGTACTCTATGAAGAATTCTCAGACAATTAGATGAAATAAAAAATTGTTTATTTTATAATTTTATAATTTTAAAAAATATTATTAAAATATTAATATTTTAATAATATATTTGTATATTTGTAATGACATATTTATATATTATAATTTATATACATATATTAAAAAGTATATTAAATATATATCTTAAATATATATCTTATACGCTATATATTATATAAACATATATTGTTAATATATGTTTTACATATTCACAAAATTTCATTAAAATTTTTTGATTAGAAAAAATTTTTTGTAAGATATATGAAATTTTTTATCAATTCTATTACATATTGATTATATATAATATTGCCATTAATGTATAACAATGTTTGATTATTATTAATATTATTGATAAATGATAACAAAAATAATTTTTAAAATCTATGTGTCTTAATTTTTTATCCTATTTAATATTATATAGAAGATACTTCTTTTTATGAAATTTATATTTTTATATGCAATTTTTTTTAATAATGATAAATCTTAATTATGACAAGTATAATATTGTATTTTTTTTATATATACTTAAGAAGTTTTATAAAAATATTTTTTCCTACTTTTATTATTTTTTTCTATCTTTCATGAAAAGATATATTACTATATTTAGATAACATATATTATATATAATCCCATTTTAATCATTAAATATTTTCTCGAATTATTGATTATTAAAAAAAGCTTCATACGAAACTTATTCTGTTTTGAGAGGAAAATAATTTAATCAACTTTTTTTTTTTATTATTGATAAGTTAAATTGATAATTAATTAATTATAAATAAATTAAACTTATACATGAAGAACATATGAAAAATAATTTCATTTTTTTAAATGGAATTATATAATTTTCTATACATTATTTAATATATTTCGATATTTCCTATAAAAAATCTATTTTTTTTTAATAAAAATTAAACTTAAGGTTAAAATATCTCTGATAATTAAAATATAGTTTTTTTTATTTTTTATATGATATATTATCTTTATATTTTGATTGGATTGAAATGTATATTAATTAAAAGATTGTAAAATATATAATAATTAAAACTATATTTTAATTAAAAAGACTTAAAAGAAGTATAATTTTATGATGTTATGATATATATTACTTATTACTTATTACTATTACTTATATATTACTATTAAGTTTGAAATGAAATATTATTTATTAAAATAAGAAAAAAGATATTAAAATTTGAACAAAATTGTAATTATCTCAATATTAAAAATCGAACATTATGATTTTTTCAATTTTATTTTATTTTTCGTGCAATATTATTCTATTTATATATTTTTCAAGCATCTATTTTTTAAATATCTATTATAAATACATTATAATTTTTAATTCAATTTTTTATTTTTTAGATTAATCACCAATTAATAGCAATAAATATTTTTTCTTCATTTATAAAATTCTACATCAAATTGTTATTAAACTACGATTTAATTTTCTAATAAGTTTTGCCTGCTTATAATGCTTATAATACCACAAAATCCGAAATATCATTTTTATAATGATTATCATAGGATAACAAGACATTAATTAAAATTTTTTATTTGACAAAATTATTTCAATAAATAATCAATATTCTTAAAATCATCACTTCAAGTTTCCTTAATAAATATGATTTACATATTTTTTTATATCATTACTTCAGATTCTTAATCATATTATTATTAATCATATTTTTCAAATATTTGATTATTTCGTCATTATTTCATATTATTATTTTTTTTGTCGAAATTCTAATATCTGTTTTCTTCTTGATTTTATAACTAACTTTATTGGTCTAATCTTCTAAATCTCTTATAATTATACATTATAATTATACATTCTCTTATAATTATAATTATTATTCTATAAAATTTGAATTCTCTATTATTTGATATATTTTCTTCTATATACTATTGTTAAAACAAAATCTTTCATATTTTTACAAACTATTTTATTTCTTTTTATTGTCATATTCATAGATTTTTTTTCATTATATAACTAATGAGACTTTCTTTAATTAAATTA